CTATCTCTTAACAATTCCTCAGAATACACAGCTGCCACCCTCTTATCTTATTTGTATTCCCTTGAATTCTATATTACAATTTTGTTACTGTTTACAGAAAATGTTAAATAGGCTAAATCTACCTGGCACAGCCTATCAATATTTTCTTCTGTTGGCATTACAAAATATATTGCGGGAACATCAGGTATAGGGTCTCGATCAGAATGAAGAAGACTGAAAAGAAAAGAAACTTAAGTTATTTAATACCAAGTAAATAAACTAAAAAGCCATTTAAAGAAAAAAGACATCACTTTAATCCTATGAATTCTTACTTGGGATTAAGCTTTACAAAAAGCTGAGTATTATTATTTTTATCATCTTTCCATAAATGTTGGCTATAATTAACTATACAAAAATGCAAACAGAACAATCTATATCAAAACATTTTTAAAAAGTTAAACCAAGATTGAACACATGTGTAAAATCAAACTGATACATTTTAAGTTCTATTCAAAAACTCAAGAGTAGGGACTAATTAATAAGAAAGTTTTTTTATTTATTCCATGACAGTCTCTGTAAGTGATTGTATCATGGCCCGGAAAAAAATAAAATATAGAATTTAATGAAATATATTTTCTCCTATCAGCAACCTCCATGAACACTTCTGAACTCTACTGAAAGACTGTTTTGATACATGATTAAAACCTATATTTTTAGATTTTTCTCTTGGTGTTCTTCAGTATCTTCCAAACTAATAACTTTGTCATCAATCTCATCAAATGTGTTTAACGTTATACTGACTGGCATGCTAGTGCTTCAAGACAGAGCAATGGCTCTGATTAGTATCAAGCCCTTATAACATTCTCATCTACTGCCCCACTGGCAGGATATCCAATTTGCAACTTAATCTGATAAACTTTCAATCACATAAAATCTTTTAAATACTACGTACTACAATATATATTCAGACACAAATATGCACAATACATACAGATGCAAAGTAATGCCCATATCTCTTAATTCTTTCACAGACAGTAATGGAGATATTATGTCCTGGCCAAATCTGTCATAAATAAGAACCTAAAATGGAAACACAAATAATATTAAGACATATACTATGTATATAATCTTAATAAATTCTGTGCATGCTCTTTTCCCACTAACACTTTCTATATAGTTAATATTACAACTACCTCAAAATATGGTACTATACAGCTCTCCCATTCAAAAAATAAGTATACCTTTTATTTAAACAAAGGGATGAATTCACAGAAAATATAAACAAAACAGTAAGTTAAACAGTTTTAGTTGCAATATAAATAGTTTTGAAAATAAATGTCCTTAGATGTTTACAATTCTTTTTTTATACAACCTTCATCAAAATTTCAGGTCAACTAATTTTCAATTGTCATTTTTTTTCTATTTACTTCTTTGTTTTTTCACAAATGATTGCTTCAACATGTCACTTTATTAGCTAGAATTATAAAATATATTTTTAAAAAATATGACAAGGAAATTAATTCGGCAATATAAATTATCTTGGATAAAAGATCAATTTATAACTTGACTTACTTTCCATACTGGTTCACCTGTAGTGTTTTTAACAGGTGGCACATTAAAATTCAACATGCGCTTCAAAGCCCCTGAAAAAAGAAAGAGTTCCATTTTATTTGCTAACAATTATAATGATCACAATCTTAAAATATTTATATTTGGAGGGCACTGCAGAAAATAGGCCTATAGTCTTTTGAATATGCTATTACACAAATGCTTATTTTAAATTAAAGGATTAGAGGGATTCTTGTTTATGGACATTAATATCTAAAACTGATAACTTTAAAAGAAATGAAAACATGTGCAAGACATTATACAAATGTCTCACTAAGCCCTTCACACCATTTTTATCAGATGCAGCAGGCACAGTAAATGCAATTGGAAGATCTATTCCATGTATAAGTAGTCCTTGCTTAGTGATCACAATTGTGACTGGTAATTTTAGTTTTCTTTTACTGCTCTCCTCATATTGGAGGGGACATTTATAAAAACATGTTTATGTGTAGACCCTCCCTCTCATGGTAAGCACTAAACATGCAGAAAGTTTCATTTATCCTTTCCCCCTCCAATCAATAACTAAGGGAGAGCACTAAAAAGTATGCCTCCTTCACATTATTATATAATAAAATAATTAGGATGAAATATAGCAAACAGCTGTTACCAAAAGTCAAACCGGCGAGGAGAAATTTTTAACAGGCCTGTCTTGGACTCTTCCATTAAAGTCTGCCCAAGCTCCCCAGGAATCAAATTGACAATGTATAGTAGACCTGCCATGTTTTACCAGGCCTTTGAGTGTGCTATTGTGGTGCTGCCAGGGGATGGTTCACTGAGTATTTCTAGGATAGGAAAATGGTTTATCCAACAAGTTATAAGTCTTGGACCTGCATCTAACAGTGTAGTTGGGTGCTCAACCTTGATTCCTGGCAGTGAGGTTTCAATGGACAGGAAGGCAAACCCATTTGACACTTTTACAGAGAAGAGAATGAGTTTTATAGAGGCCTACTTTTAGCATAGCTTCTTTCATGCCATCAAAGCAAGTTGGTATTATATTTTCTACCCTCTTCCCTATACTGACATCCCCATTTTTTATGTTTGTTTAGTTTATTATTTATGGTATCTATCCTTATGGTGTTTCTCTCTTTCATCTACCCAATTACTATGACAGAAGGACTGCCCAAAATTTCCTGATTGTCATCAGAAAAGTCCCTGTTTCTGACATGCTTTCCAAAGTTTTAAGGGTGTTCTTTCAACCTGTCACCTATTAACATTTCTACCATGGCTAACTGTCATGATCTTTGGATGCAGTGCCAAGGAATGGGACCTGTGATCAGACATACCTAGATGACATCAGATTAGATGAAGCACCTGTTAGCTGTAGTACATAAAAGAAGAACCCTAACTTCATTTCAAGAACTAATATATTGAATCAAGGAGTCTATGCCCATTACTTCTTGGGATAATAAGTCTTTAGAAATCTTGCTTGGTTTTGGATGTTGTCTCTTTTTTGATGTAAGAAGTTCAACATTCTTATTTTCTTTATTACTAAATAAAGCTTATTTATTAGGCTTGTATTTCTCTATATGCAAAATTTCTTGGCAGATTTACAAGCATACATAAATCCACGCAAATTTAATATTTCTAGTTTATGCTTGCATTTTAGAGCAATTTCTGAAATGAAGGTTTCTAACCAAAATAGAATATTGATGAATATTCATAGAAATGGCCAAATTATATCAGTCCTATACAGATTGCCAGTTTGTTTCTAGGCATGATTCAAAATTTAGGTGACATTTTTAAAAGCTTAATTTCTTGATACCTTAGGATTTGTCTCCTTTCATACTGCTATCTTACGAAGACATGATGAAAAGCCCTTCCTTGTCCCCAGTTGGGGCAAGAAAAATAACCTTTTATTGTCCCATCTAAGTGTTAGAATATTGTATCTTGGGAGGCTAGGCTAGCACCTTCTGTGTGGCATTTTGCCAACAGGTCAATATCTTACCTTTTAGGAATATATGACCTCTAAAAGCAACCTGAATCTTAGAAAATACACTTTTTGTATCTACTTTGTAATTTTTATTAAATAACTTCATTAGCCTTTTTTGTCCCAAATATTTAAGTATTTCAACTTTGTAGACGTCTTTGAAAAGTGCCTATATAAAGGTATAGCGGTTATGAATTCTCCTACAAGTTACTAAATTGATGAGAGCAAGAAAGGTATATCCTAAAAATCAAAGTACACCATGAAAACCTACCAAAGGATCCCTCCAAATGAAGCTTATTGAAACAAATCGACAAAACGAGTTCGATATGGATTAATGCAAAATGAGATTAGTTTAAAGTTATATGTTAACTCCATATATAATTTAATTGCTCTGAACTGGACACATTCTTCCTTTTTCTGTAGCATCATAGCAGGTAAGTTTTACTTCTAAACTCAACCTCCGAGAGCATATTTGACTTGGACTTTATTTGGAAAATAATATTTTACCTACGATATCAAGTTGTAAACCAAGCTATAAAAGTCCTATAATTTAACAGTAAGAGATAATATTGTCTACCTTGAAAAAAAACCCTGACTCTAATGCAACTTTCCTGATCCAAGTGTTTTTCAGATGGCTTAGATGACAACCCCCATAATCCCAATGAGCATAACCACTGTTGGGTGGGAATGATAGATGCAGCCATCCATCAAATCTGAGGGCAGCTGGTTGGGAAGTGTCCCCTTAAAGGACCTTCTGTTTTACAAACTCATTTCCTAAATGATTCACTTTTATATTTTGAAACTGTCTTGTCGATTTTTAAAAGATTAAACCGGGACACCACACTAAAAATTAATTCAGGTATGGCTTTCTCTCCAAAACAATTCCTTTTGCAACGCAGTATTTATTGGTGGAAGGCCGGGTTCCTATTTTGCACTATGCCCTTAAACTTTAGCCCACGAAGTCCTTCCTAGCCGATAATCGCCAAGGCTAGGGAAAAGCGAAAATAAAGGAAGGCCTCCAGAAGCACCCTAAGTGGGAGGCACAAGGAGCATCCCAATAAAGGGCACCCCAGTAGTGGGGGCTCGATCAGCCCAGGCGAGGCTGGGCAAGACAGCTCGCTCACGACGAGGCAGAAAACAGTTCTCTCATAAAAAGTAAGCTACAGCGACGAAGGGAGGGCCGCAATTCACACCGGACGGACTCGAAGGACACTCCTAGCCTTCTCTTTCGAGCCAACCCGGCTTCAGGAGTGCCGAAGAAGGTAAGACGACCAGACCAAAGAATCCTGCGGACGACCTAACGCCGGGCACTCACCGGTCTGCTTCTCCCGGATACTGGCCGCCATCTTCCCCTGGTGTTCGGGCCGACTCCGCCCACCTCACCGCCGCGCCATCACCAGCCGGCAGACGTGGCGCGCGAGGGGACTTACGCGGCTTCTTGCGGTATCGCGGCGGGCGGAGTCTGCCGAGTTCTTGTTCGACCTGTCGGCGCTGATGCCGTAGCCCGGGTTGCTTCCTTTGAGAAAGGAAGAAAGCGATGCGGCATCTTAGCAGATCGGCATTCCCGTTCTGCTTCTTGAGGAAGTTAGGAGTTAGGATTTGGCATTTTCCTGTCGTATTCTGCGTCTGAGACTCGTTTCGGACATTATTCACCTTGTGGGCGACAGTTAGTCGGATGGCTGGATCGATAACCCTCGGCACCGTTTTATGGGACTTTTTGAGTGGGAAAGCGGATTGGCGCATTGGAGCTTTCTTCCTGCCAAAACCTGTCACTTCGGGCAGCAATTGCTTTCAGGGGACTGCCTTACATTCTAAAAGTTAAAAAAAGCTGTGATCGTGTTTTTCTTCTCCAATACATTCTTACAACTACCGGACCCTGCACCTGCGGGAGAAACGCTAGGATGACGACGACCACGACGGCATTCTTAAAACTAGAAAGTAGGCGTAGGACCTTGTTCTTTAAACTTTAGTCTCACTTATTGCACCTTAAAATGGAAGCAAAACTACAACTTTTCCGAATGCTAACTAAATCCCTTTACCTCTTTGATTTTTCAGGGTGGCTGAGGACTGACTGGAACTGGATTTAACATCAGAAGAGCCACAGTTCCCTGTACCTACCTTGAATCAGGCACTGAACGTAATTGCTTCGGGAATAAACGAAAAAGACTGTACAAGATTGTATCTGTCTCTCCAAAATACCAAGAAAGATTTAAGTTCTCCCCTTTCTTCTAGCAATGGTTAATTATTTCTGCACTTCACAGGCAATTTCGGTATCTGAAGCCTAATTTCTAGGCATCAGATTTATGAAGAAAGGCAGATTTAATTATTTTTGTAGCAAATCTTGTTTCTATTATCAGGGTAGTTGGGATTCAGAAGTTAACTCATCTGTAGCAAAAAAAAAAAAAAAACCAAAAACAAACCCACACCTGAGAGCTGATTTCCTTCAAAACAATTTACTTTTTAAATAAATGTCTGACATTGATAATAAATGAAATTGAAATTGCAGCAAATAAAAAAAGAAAAATGGAAAAGGAGTTCCACCTGATTTGGATTTAGTTTTGGTGTAATCCCAGATCCAACCTTGAATCTAAGCAGCACTTTTCCAGATTTAGCCAATGTAATACCTGCATAAAATCTTTTAGCAAAATGACTTTAGTTACATTCCATTTTGATAAAATAATTATATAGTGCTGACTCAGAAGCTGTGTTTTGACGATTGCAATAGAAAAGCTTTTATTGGATCATGTAACTCCTTTGTTAGAAAATGTTTTCTTAGCTTCCCTTCCAGGCAAAATCTAAAACATTGGTTATGACTTCTAAAGCCCTATTAACGCCCAGATTTTTAAAGTATAGTTTTTCTACATATCAACTATATGAGCTTCAATTTTTCAGTAGAAATCTTTGGTAGAATTAAAGCACTTTTGTTAAAAAATTTAAAGTCTCCCCTTTATCTGTTCCCATTCTGAAATTCTTGGTTTTTTTTTTTGTCTAAATATTGTCTGGTCATAGCATCAAAACCTTAAGATTTCTGAGTAATTTACTGAATATGGCAACAAATAACTTTCTCACACATTTTAATATAATTCCAGCTTGAAAAATAATCCAGGAAATTTATTCTTCCTTGCTATGGCTTCACCTTCGCCAAAAGGCAGGAACAGGCCAATTTCTTATAAATTGATTATACAACATTGGCTGCACATATGCCTTACTTTAACTTTTAGAAGGGCTAAAAAATTAAAATTTTAAATAAGGTTAACACTTAAAGGTCAGTTTGTCACATTTATGGATTACTGGAAGAAGCACCTGATTACAGTTGTCCATATATGAATACAACTGGGATATTAAGATCACCAACTTTGTTACTGCTCAAGATTTAATCAGACATATGGAAGATGCCGAGTCAATTTTACGAATAGATACATACAATTAGAGAATACAATTGACTTAGTTCACCCATTATTTTTCAAAAATCATGAACCCAGTCTTTGATACCATTGACAAAATGCCTATTATTACTTTCAGCATTTGATAGTTCTCATTGTTAAATGTAATTAGGGCAGCTGCGAAGAGCCATTTTCAGCATCTGAATGTGGTAAAAGGGGTAGATGCATACCTTTTTCATCACTGACATGCTAAACTGATAGTTTAATATTATCAAGCCAAATGACATGGCAATGTTTAATTTTACTGCTTAGAAATCTCACATATGAAATGTTTTTGTATGGCAATCTTTTGCTGCTTTTGCCATAAAAGCAAAACACTCCATATTAATTCCATTAGAATTAGCTTTTCACTTTCAAACTATGATTGATGTGTAATATACAATTATTTAAAGAGAGTACTAAATTCTCCTGATCTGATTTCTATATGCTTGTGTTTGCATAGGAAAAGAAACTTCAAGTGTACTGGAAGAAACAATATATGCAGATTCCTTGTTCATATACAGCTATCTTTTATCGGACAAAAGGAATTGGATTGGCACACTATTCTAATCTAACTGCATCTACATGGAGGGAAGTGCGTAGTGGGGTGCCCCAGGGCTCTGTTCTGGGCGCAATGCTCTTCAACATCTTCATTAGTGATTTGGATGAGGGGATAGACGGGAATTCATCAAATTTGCAGATGACACCAAACTGGCAGAAATAGCCAACATTCCAGAAGATAGACTTAAGATACAGAAGAATCTTGACAGACTTGAACATTGGGCGTTATCTAACAAAATGAAATTCAATGATGAAAAAAGTAAGGTGCTACATTTAGGCAAGAAAAACTAAATGCACAGTACAGTATAGGTGGTACCTTGCTCAATAGTAGTAACTGAAAGGGATCTTGGAGTCCTAATGGACAATCACTTAAATATGAGCCAGCAGTGTGCTGCAGCTGCCAAAAAAGCCAACACAGTGCTAGGCTGCATTAACAGAGGGATAGAATCAAGATCATGTGAAGTGTTAATACCACTTTATAACACCTTGGTAAGGCCACACTTTGAATACTGCATCCAGTTTTGGTCACCAAGATGTAAAAAAAATGTTGAGACTCTAGAAAGAGTACAGACAAGAACAACAAAGATGATTAGGGGACTGGAGGCTAAAACAAGGAACAGTTGCTGGATTTGGGTATATCTAGTTTAATGAAGAGAAGAACTAGGGGTGACATGATAGCAGCGTTCCAATATCTCAGGGGTTGCCACAAAGAAAAGGGAGTAAGCTATTCTCCAAAACACCTGAAGGCAGGACAAGTAGCAAAGGATGGAAACTAATCAAAGAGAGAAATAACCTAGAACTAAGGAGAAATTTCCTGACAGAACAACTAATCAGTGAACAACCTGCTTCCAGAAGTTGTGAATTCTCCAACACTGGAAGTTTTTAAGAAGAGACTGGACAACCATTTGTCTGAAATGGTGTAGGGTTTCCTGCCTGAGCAGGGGGTTGAACTAGAAGACCTCAAAGGTCCCTTCCAACTCTACTACTAATCAATCATTCATTTTCTTGTAGCATATGGGTTCTTTAGAAACCCATATGTAGCATATGGGTTCTTTAGAAACTTATAAACTATTTTTTATTGTTTTTAATATATAACCTGAGCAATTTTAAGTGAAACCCCCCTCCCAATTGGGTCTAGACCAGTGATGGCAAACCTTTTAGAGACCGAGTGCCCAAAAACTGGCCCCGCCCCTGCTCCACCCCCTGCCCCCACTCCGCCTGCCCACAGGGCCACTCACCGCCTCCAAGGCCTGTTGCAGATCGCCCAGCAGCACCATGGCGGCCACGCCCTCTGCCCACGCTCTGCAGCATCAACTGCACGATGGGATGTGAAGGCAGAGTCTTGTCTGCACTGCCTGGCTGCCATGTCCTTGGCTGCCCTGCTCCACATGGGCCACGCTCGGGGGCGACTCTCCTCCAGGGGGGCTGCTGGTGAGGAGGGGGTTGCAGGGGAAGGCAAGGCTGGGGCAACGGCACATGTGTCCACAGAAAGGGCTCCGAATGCCGCCTCTGGCACCCGTGCCATAGGTTCGCTACCACTGGTCTAGACTGACTTTAGGGTATCTGAAATTAGTGGGACTTAGGTTTCGCCTAACTTTTCAGAATGTAACATATTTCAATAGTACAATTCACTTTGAAAGTGTTAGTATGGTTAAGTTTTCACTTTCAGAGTAAATTCTTTTTGGGACAAGAATTATATATAATTATTTTCATGTATTCCAAAGAAACTAAAAATAACTCTTAAGTTTTTATTTGGACATGAAAACTACATCAGTAACATTGGATGAAATTGTGATATCCATCGATTCATCCATCCATCTGACCTTTATAGGTTTATCCCACTTTTAATTTTGTCATTAGACCCTCAATATTTAATTATTCTCAAAAAATTAAGTACCAACTGTGCTTAAGGATTATATATGTAATAACTTTTAACTAGAAATCCTTGATTTATTGCACTTTAATACACACACACACACACACACACACACACACACACATACAAGACAGTTGTCCCATATATCTCTACAAGTAACTTAAGAGCAAAGTACAACTGACACTGAAAGTTACAAAAGACTTCTGGAAATAATAATTTTATACAAAACATAATTTACAAATTTGTAACTGTACACACAAGATTTATATTCCACTTTGTTTTCTTAATATCAAGTTTCATCTTTCAATAGTACGCATTTCCTTTTCTACATGTATTTTTCTCAATAGATACTTGTGTAAGAAGAAATAATAGTGAATTTATGAATCTTATTTAAAGTACCTGAGCTCAAAAGGAATATTGTTCTCCTGTACTGACACATATGTAAACCCTGTTAATGTACAGTGCTTCATACTTCTGTTATAATCAGTAGATAGAGTATTATACAGTCTAGTAAAGCTGAAATTCAAGTACTATAATCATAATTGGAAGAATGTGAGATATTCACTCTGTACATATAAATTACATTGAGAGATGATTAAGGTATATTATATTTCCTTACAGTCCATCCCCATAAACTGCTATAACATTTTTGCTAGATCAGGGGTGTTAAACTGCCAGCCCGTGGGCCGGATGCATCACGCCAAAACTGCGCCCACCCCATTGCCAGCAATGGGAAAAAAGTCACGATAGGTCACGTCACGTGACGTTGCAAGTTTGATACCCGTGTGCTAGATGATAGAATCACATGGCAAAAGGCAAAGAATGGATAATAAAAACATCCACTATCAACTCTGGGCAACAATGGATATCTCAATATTTATAGACTATGACTGTCATAAAGAAATAGGATGATATTGCACCAATTTCACTGTGAAATAATTTGTGACTGGAGCAATAATAAACTTTGCTGAGATGGAACATTCAGTAGCTAATTCTAGTTGTCCTTACCCATTATGAAATTTTGGAACAAAAATGGCTTTTTCACCACTATACCTATATTTTAGCATTGTTAATAGTTGTGATTTATATTATAACCTTGTTTCTACTAGAACTAATCAGAAATTAGCTGAAATACGGTCCTTATGTAGAAAAAGCACGACTGGGAGCAAAACTACCAATTTTGTACATTTGTAAGATATTTCTCAGACATATCTTCCTTTAAAGCAATATTCTGATTAGTTTCCAAGATACAGTCAAAACCTCAGTGGAAATCAATAAACCCCAAAGTAGTAAGATATTTAAACTAAATCTGTCAATTGCCAAAATGCTAAAATAAAAATCTCACTTTTCAAATGAAAATATAAAATAACCATATTAACATGAAACACCTTCTAGGCAATGTCATATAAAAGACTACGAGTTCTAGTCCTGCCTTGGGCATAAAGCCAGCTGGGTAACAGTGGATCAGTCACTTTTTCTCAGCCCTAGGAAATAGGCAATGGAAAATACTGAAAATCTTCTGGCCAAAAATCAGTCAAACAACAACAACAAAAAAACCCTGCAGGGATTTGTCCAAATAATTTCTAAAAATCCAACAAGATTGAATGGAAGGAAAAAAAGTAAAAAAATTACCTCCAAGGTATTTACATAAGCATAGTACTTGTGGAATATTCAAAAGTATGCGTAATAACCCATTTTTTAAAAAACAAAAATTACAAAATACCATATCCAGGCAATCCTCAACTAGCTGCCATTGTTCAGCAACTGTTCAAAGTTACATTGATGTTCAACAATGATGATTTGGAGCTTTGGCCATCCCAGCAATCCTGCAGTAACATGATTGCAATCTGGGCATTTGGCAACCAATTTGCATTTAGTGGGTTGCCTAGCACCCTGCAATCATATGCTCAAAAGTCAATGGGAAAGCTGCAGGGAAGGTTACAAATTGTTGGAATAAGTCACTGCATCCCCTCACACCACTCCCTCACCTGTGCTGCACTTCTCATGGTCCCTTTCCTACCTGGCAGCAACTACTTATCTGCCTGCCAGCTTGGGACTTGCACGTTTCCCTTTGGTTGTAGGAAGGTGCCAGGAAGTTGCCTCATCCAACAATTGTGGGATTCAATTCATAACAATCAGGACTTCAGGAATTGCCTTTGCTAAGCAATGTAGTTGTGATTTACAGCCGCATTGCTTAGCAATGGAAATTCCAGTCCCAATTATTGTTGAGGACTACCTATAAACCAGTAAACTTGGAATATACTTTCTGTCATTGATCCACAACCTTTGTCTGGTTGGGTAGCCAGAATTCAACTAATTCACACTGAGGAAATAACTAGCATCAAACATGAATCACACGAAAAATAAGGTCCCACACCAAACTGCTTGTTTAAAGAAGAGGACTGAACAACAGTACAACTAGATGTCTGAAAGCCAGGAAATAAATGTTCCTTTTCAAGTGCATTTTTTATTTTTTAATATAAAAAATTGAAATTTGTGGTTAGAAACTGTGGGAGTAGAAGCATTCCATCCATTCTGCTGAAATATTAACTCCATCATGCCTTGAGCACTTCCTCTACAGATGAATTTAAGTGGTTGAAATAAATATCCTGTACCTACTGCAAGCTTTGTTTATTTATTGCAAACTACTAATATACATGCTGGCCAAGTATAAAACTTCACTAATGAAGTAGTTATCATTATGGTCTGATATATATTTTTCTGAACATTTCAGAATAGTGTATACTGTATATTTTTACCCACAATTAATTTTCAATAATTGAAATTCAAACAATTTATAGTAGAACAGCATGGATAAGCTCCAGAGGCTTTTATTGTGAAATTTAATAAGTAACGACAGAAATTACTTTTAAATTATGAATTATTGTGATTAATCTTTCAGGACAGCACAACCCAACAAAACCAACAGGGAAATGTGGCCCTGGGGAAAACAGGAATTTGCTTTTTTTTTCCTCCTAGTAAAAGCAATGTCATATCACTTTGGATTAAAACCACTTAAAGGGGTTGGTGTTTCCATACATGTGCGTGAAAGTGTTATGTGGGTGCGTAAATGATTCCATCACCTATTTCATAAGATTTAATACTCTATACGGTGTATAATGCATCCAACATAATAGATATATTTTAGAAAAATGAAATCAAATGCATAATCTTTCTAGTTAAGGATTGAGTAGGGAATGGCATTTCTAACTTTGGTATTTCTGGGACATATAAAAAGCTAACTCATCTCAGCCTTCTTCTAAATATCTAATTTAAATCAAATGATATTTACTTCAATTTGCATAAATGTGAGGATAATTCTTAAAACATTTATGTACATTTGCTATAGTATGCACAGTCTTGTAGAAGATAGTTTCAGTATGAAACATTCTATTCTAGGTTTGAAATAGCTGTTTTAGTTTAAAACAGACTAATGTTTAGACTTCTCTCACTATAGCCCAGGAGTGTCAAACTGCCAGCCCATAGGCCGGACACGTCATGCAGAAGCCGCGCCCACTCTATTGCCGGCAACGGCAAAACAGTCCCAATACGTCACACGGCATCACCTGACATCGCGAATTTGAATGTCTTCTATAGCCAAAATAATGCTACAACCCCTCTGGCCATAACAGGTAGAACTGTTGTTTCAAGGAAAAAGACTTCTATATCCAAACGTATCACCATCTCTAACTGAAATAATGAAACTTAGTTAACAAACACATCTGATGCCAATTATAGCTGTTCTGAATACAGAATTCCTACAATGCAGTTTTAAAAAATCCTTTCATATTCAAAACTATATATATTTTTAAAAAATTAGAATGATTCTAGAACGGAAACAGTTATTTGGGCATAATCCCACAAATGTTCAGAGCATTACAAATATTTAAGAAAAGATAACATGAGGTAATCTTTAATTTCTTTTTTCATGTTTATAATTAATAGCTAGAATACGTTAAAGGAGTTTGTGTGTGAAATCAACATCTCCTTCTCAGGGATCCACATAAATAAACCCACACCTCAAATCTTTATAGAAAAATGCAATATATAAAAGTTGATATATTGAAAATTGGAAAGGGTTCTTGAATGCATTTGCAGAAGTTTTGATGTGTAACATTTGTGATATAAAATGGAAGGTACACTATAATCACTAAGAACCAGTTACTTTGCAAAAACAAAATCCAGAACAAATATAATGCAAAATTGATTTAAAAGCTTTGTTTGCTCATCATTTTGAAACACTGTTCAAAATGTAAAGACTGAAACTATGCATTTCCATGATCAATTTTTAAACCTGTGAGGATGAACATGTCTGTTTTCCAGTAGGCAAGTAGCAAGCTTCCTGTGTGCTTCATCATTCAGTTTTCAGTATCCATTGTAGTGACTAACGTACTTCTGACTGTAATAGGGCACGTCGGATGGCAATATCCAGAATTTTTTTAAAATTCTCATAAGATTTTGTTATTGGAAGCTCTAAACAGTTAAAATCTCTATTCCCAATGGGATATTTTATATGCAGAAACTTAACTGAAGGGTCAGGATCAAAGCCAATGGGTGGAATATTGCGGATGCCAGTTGCAAATACTAAGATATCCTCTAGAGTTACAGATGACTCACCACCTACATCAAGAAATATGAAGATTGTTTTTAAAAAGCCATTGTAGTTAATCAAAATATCACATTAGTTAAGAAATTATAGATGAAATGGAATAATATTTTGATTGCAGGAAATCGTAACTGCAAATATAATGTAAAATAAAAGTGCAAAACAAGCCTTTCTCCACCAACAGTGCAATCTGATGTTTCTTATTTTACAGGTACAAAATATATTTCAAATGTTCAAATTCTAAAAGTAGGCAATATCCCATTTTCTTACCTTCTGTCTCCTGTAAGTAACCCATCCAGAAATCAAGGCATCTGGCCTTCTCTGATCCCGATAAACAGTGAATTGTAAAGAGATCACCAAGGAGTTTTGCTGAAAGTTTCTCGGGTTTGTGACATAATATGCTACAGAATGCATCGGGATTCATTTGTATTTTTTCCAAAACACCAAGTGTTTTCAAACCTTGTCTAAAGCTTTTGGGGAAATAGAGAGAGAGATGCAAAGAAAGAAAGTGCTATGAGTCTTTAGTGCTGTTTTTTTAAAAAATAAAAAAAAATCTTGTGGACACTACCAAATTTATTTTTACATCAGATTCCTCTTATTTTAAAGCATAAACATCCTAGCTAATCTCTAACAGCAAGAGGATTTTCAATTATGTTTACTAAAATGATTGCTGTGATTGCTTCAATTAGAAAGGCAAGCCCATACATTCTTACTCATAGCTTGTATTCTTTATCCTTCCACCCATATGTTCCAAATCTACTAAAACCTCTTGAAATATATTAGAAAGCTTCATAACCTTTTTGCTTGAATAACGTATGATTGTTGAAACAATCCTCAAAGGATTTCCAAGTGTTGAATAACAGGTTTTTTTTAACCTACACTTTACCAAAATTATTCATTAATTTTTCAATACTACTTGATTAGAGAAAAAAGCAATTCAGTGAAAATAAGACATAATGAGCAAACATATTTTAATGTACCCCTACAGGGTACATTAGTTAAAAATTTAAAAGTGATAGGAATGATTTCCAGAGCATGCAAACCTTTCAAATGGTAAAAGAGTTCTTTTGATGACATGGTGATTCAGAATCTCATTCACCAATATATTTTTGTCACATAGTGCTGTTACAGATTTCAAACATCCAATAGAAGCAAGATAGTCAGAGCAATCATTTATTGCTGATTCTAAGCTGCCCAGTGTTGTGGCAGATTTTATCTGCAGAAGAAAACCAAACATATTTGCACCATTAATGAACCATTCGAGCTAACACATTCCCTGGGACAACCTGTTCCCTTCCTCCCACTATATCTCTCCAGGCCGGTCACCACCATACTACTCTGTTCCATCCCATCTCCTCAATGGCAGCCCTATCCCCAAATGTAGGTCCCCCAATTCCCAAGGCCAGAGATCTCCCACTGTCTTCTACAGCCCTGGGAGGGGAAGCCAGGTGCCCCGAGGCACCTTAACTTCACTAATTCTCAGTATCATAATGATTCTCAATAACCACCTCCCATTCCACCACTAGCACTCACAGGGGATCCCGGTCCTGCTGTTCTCACCAATTGGCTCTCACCCAGAAGGAAAATCAGTCCTCACTCCTCAGTGAGAAACCAATAGGCTAGCAATCAAGGCACTTAGCCATCATATGGAAGCCATGACATGATCTACAGTTGCTTTCTTCCTCCTTGGGGTTACCAGGAGAATAGGCAAAATGATCTCCATAGTAGAGGGGGTAGAAAATAATCTTCCACTGAACTGTAACACCCCTCTGCCACCCTCATACCTCCAAAGCCTTAGCATCCATCAGTGATAAACAAATGGTGCAAGAAGGAGCGCCATGCCCACAACCACTGTTCACAAATGCAGTTGGTATTACAGGTATGGCCAGAGCAGCAGAACAAATGCAGCCCATCCTCCAGTGCAGCCTGAACAGATCCCTGAGAAGCAGACAGAGCCGGTGTGAAAAAAACTGCTGCCAGATTGACAGATGCATCTCAGCTCGATAGGCAAGGCTAATGCTGCAGAGTGGTTCATCCTGAAATCTGCTCCTTCAGTCTGAACAAGTCCAAAAATAGCCCAAGCAGATCTAGAAATCCAGCTTCCACTTAGGTATGTGCCACCTCACTCAAAAACATCCTTCAGCACACCACAACACACAATCATGAAGACCCTCTAACCTCCTATTTACTAGAAGTTTATATATATATCCTACTGTCTTACAGAGCAATTGCTCACCTTCTCTATTGCCTCCAAAATGTTTACATCAGCAACATCTTCTATTGTTGGCTTCACATTTTCTGTGCCATAGGCGAGACAGTGAAACAAGGTTTTGGAAAAGAAGCTAGGAGATGAGCCTCCATGAACCAGAGAAACTGCAATCATTTTCCCTGCTTCGAAGTATAAATTATCTTTAAGAGCTGCAAGTACAAATGGTATATTACACTTACTGAATATGACTGGTAGAAACTTGTTTTAATATGAGAAAAAAGTTAGATCAAAATCCATTCCATTCCCCATGATTCAGTCAGAACTGAAAGAGCTACTTGGATGAGAAGCAAAACGTTTTCAAAGAAAAAACAAGAAAGTCTGGTTGCCTTTTGAAAAGCAAGTTTGGGACAACCATGACTTGGATGATTGTGAATCTCCGTGGACCTTTAGACCAAAACTTAGTATTCTTTTTTCTACATCTTTAGTTACAATTAGAAGCCTATAAGGCCAAAAAATGGCTCTTTCATTTCTTCTGAGAAATAAATATACGATTTGTTTGTGAACTTGGACATTCAGTTTAGAATCTAAGAATGGAATCAGCAAGAATAGTAGCAAGTCATTTCTGAAATTTCATTTGTTTTATTTATGATCGTTATGATTATTCCTTTTAATGTGTGCCCTTTGCTTCTTCTGTTACACAGGTGATTACTATTCCCTGTTGATAGTTGGAAATTCTGTTCTGAATCCTTAAATATCCCATCACTACATTTCATTCAATAAAACCTATATATTTTATTCAATAAAACACATTCAATAAAACTAGTAAATAGGCATTTATGGGAGAAAAAAAAACAAGTTCTGTTTGAGCTCTAATTTCTTTAATTCCTTCTATTACTGCATCCCCCAAAACCATTATAAGAAATGTGTTTTAAAGCCTGGCAACTACCCAGGGAAAAATGTTGACTTAGCATAAGCTGAAGTCGATAGAGGAAACTGAATTACAAATGCAGCTGTCTTGGTTGCTTAATGACTGTTTGAAGTTACAAGACACTCAAAAATTTTTTTTACAACCTCTCCTTGAAGTTAAAACTGTCACACACACCCTCCCCCGTCATGTAATAGCATTTTGGGTGCTTGGCAACCTATTTACAATTATGACTGGTTGTCAAGCATCCTGTGTTCATGCACAATTGATTACCATTTGCAATCTTCTTTGCTGGCTTCCCCAGAAAGTTAATGGGGAAGCCTGCAGGGAAGATTACAGGCTGCTGCCACCTGTGGAAGGATTTCTCTTCCCCTCTGTCCAAGGAGGGGAACTCCTGTGGGGGCTGGATAAACAATGATCTTCGGGAAGCAAACTTTCCTCCAGCTGAGCACTGGATTTCTTCCCTCCTCCCATTGGGAAAAAAAAAATTGAACTTCTTTCCAGCCTTCCTACTATTCAGAAACATTGTGTCCACTAGCTTCCTAGCCAGAAACCCAGCAAGCATCACATTTTTGAACAGTAGAAAGGATCATTCCAACCTTTCTCGCCTTCAGAAACATTATGAATGCCTGTGCTCTTCTTGCAATTGTTCTGAATGGTATAGAAAGCCTCTTTCAACTATTCAGAAATATTACATTTGCTAGCTTTCTGGATAGAAAACTAGTGAATGCAATATTTCTGAAGGGTAGAAAGGCTGGAAAAAATCTTTCTCCTGTTGACTTGGTTACATATTATCTCACAATGTACTAGTAAACTTCATTTTAATTTTTACTGGCTGGAGTAAGCTGTCCTAATGAATGGTGAAGAAAGGTCTATCAACATACAATATGAACTCTTCACCATTCATTAGGTCAGCTTTTTCCAGTTAATGAAAGGAAGAAGTGATGCATTGTGAGATAATATACTAATCAAGTCTTCACAGTTTGAAAGAATTTTTAAAATGAGCCACACCAATTCCAGACTATTGGGAGTAATTAAAACATTGTGAAACAGGACACTATTTACCCTGAACTTGAGACAAAACTTACAATATATATTGTTTGTTTTGTACTTAGCCCAAACATCTGAAGAAGCCATTTTAAGATATTCTAATAGTTAATATTAGAATAAAGGCTCCTACTTCTGCCACCATTATTTATGTCTAAACATAGCTAGCAATCAAAGCTACATCCTCTCCTGGTGTATATTCTAAATATTTATGTCAAGCTTACCTTGAGAATCAAAGGACAAATTCTTTGAGTAGCCCCCTTCAAATAATGATGAATTCTGAAGATGAAGCATCAGTAATTGAAAAAAATCTTCCTTTGATGAGCAACAGAGACCCATCTCTATTTTATTCCTGCAGCTTATATACTTTACTTCAATAGTGTTAGCAGGATTGAAGTTCCGCTTCTGAAATCCTTTTAGAGCACTACCCCAGATATTTTGTCTGTTGATATTCAGTCTTGTTGGTTTGGTATTAATCTGTAATCTTAATTCCTTCAGAATATTGGAGACTTCTGTTTTCTGCATTCCAAGTTGCCTATATGATAGCAAAGCATCTATTTAGGAACTTCAGCAATAATTCTGATGGCAAGCAAGTATGAGGAGTAATTTGTATAAAATTTTTCAATAGTTATAATAATGGACTAATTGTAAATAGGGAAACAAAAGGATTATTCTGCATCCTAATTTGAGACCAGTTTAGAGAAAAGACTTATTAAAGAAGCATCAAAAATCACATTTCTATTGAGCTAGCAGAAAGTCTTGAATGGAATTCTGATTAAGTACCGTATATGCCGGCGTATAAGGCGACTTCCGTGAGCGCTGAAATTGGCGCCAAAGACGGGGGTCGTCTTATACGCCGGAAATACTGGTAGTTTCCGGCGTATAAGACGACGTTCTAGGAATGCGGCTCGGTGATAAAGACGGGGGTCGTCTTATACGCTGGGTTGCCTTGTACGCCGGCATATACGGTAATATTTCTATCAACAGAAGTATAGCTCTTTATACCTCTTGAAAATGTGCAGTGGAGTATAATCTTCCTGGAATAGTGTAGTCACTTCCAAATATTTATGGGAGTGAAATACTCCCCTTTTACATCTGAGATCATTGGATCATAATCCTGTCTCATAATGGAAGATTCTGTCTATCTGCATAAGTCTTTAGATTCACTAATTTTGAAACAATGGGCAGGATCCTAAAAGCTAAAATTGTATTTATTATTACTTTACAGTTCTCAGTATTAGAAGGCAAACTATTTTTAAAAAGCAGACTAGTAGTAGAGCCAGATCAGTCCTACCAAAAATAATGGGAAAGTGTTGCAGGAGAGGGTGGTATTCAATGAGTGCTTCCATATACCCACTCAGTTTTCTGCGGCCCAATTCTGAGATATGGTTGGAGAATGCTGTCTCTTAAAATATTGAAGAAATTTTTATTTACTAACTCGGTTGAACTATGACTAGAAGGAATCTTTTGGGATAAAAGAATTCAAAGCAATTTGTAGTATGATCTATAGAAAAGTTAGTTTTTTAAAAACTCAATCATTAAATGCAACTCTTTATTAACTTACATTTTTCTTAGAGACAAATTCCTTACTGAAGGACTGATGAAGGCAGATGGGGGTAAAAATCTGTTATTAGAAGAGGGAAGATCTAGTTGTGAACACTGAGTAAAACCATTGGAACATACCATCTTTGGGGACCTGAAGGGAAAAAGAACATCCCCAAGAATAACTTAATTTTTACCCAAGTTACAGATATTTTTTACAAATAAAAAATGGAAAAAGTACACATTCAAGCATATTTAATCCCAAAATTACTTTGAATGCAATTCTTCATAATCCAAATAGTTCTATCTATATTATATAATTCATCAAAGATTATATTTTTAAAAAATGACCTTAAAATAATTATGCTGGTTTCATAGAAAGGGTTGTTAACATGACATAAACATTTGTGGATTCCTGACACACTACGAACACATCAGTTTCTAAGACAGCAACTTTTTTGATCGTTAAAAAAGCTTTAAGCAATTTCTAAGAGAGGCATGGAATTCACCATAAAATGCTTGTTTGTTTACCTTAAAACATACATTTTGATTAGTTATAATTTAGCAAAATAGTGACACACAAGAAATAACTTGAGCACAAATGTTTGGAAGCTTTTGATGCAGTACAGCCTAAAGTTCAACTCAAAGCTGTGGCTAATTTATTCTACTTGGCAATTTCTTCAAATAGGGTTTGAAGTTAACATTTTTTTAGGATTTGTTTCAAATATTTACTATAGATTGTCAGTATGAGTGAAATAACAGTATAAATTAAGAAAATAAAAGCATCAAGTTGTTACGGTTATGTAGGGAAATGAAAAAAAAAATGACAGTGTATGAGCCTGAACGCACTGTGGCACATTTCAGCTTATTTATATCATGTTCAACTTTGGGTAGCATAAGTGCAGCCTATGGGTAATTTATTATTGTTCTTATATCTTATTTCTTTTTTTGTACACTTTAAGGTAATAATGCACACGATTCCATCTATTTTACCCATATTCACCAACCTGTGAGGCAAGAATGAGCTGAGACCCCAAAGTCATGCAGCTGGCTGCTATGCCTAGAAGAGGACTAGAACATCATGGTCTCCTAGTTCTTAGTTCTGCACCTTAATTACTACATCAAACTGGCCCTCTAAACAGTTTCACATGCTTGTTGAGAAGATGGAAATCACATGCCTGATATGGATGCCAAGGTGGGATCCTGGAGACTGTCTAGGGCATTTGGGCGATGGATCTTCCATCAGACTGTCTCCATTTGCTTTTTCTGGAATACTCAAAGAACGCTTTCGCCATTTCTGAGCACTTCCTGTATAACAAAGTAATCAAATGTGTTTTTTCCTCATAAATTATTAAAAGCTTTCAGTTAATTCAAGTTTTACGAGCAGTAGGCTCTTACCATTTGATTTGGCAAGGATGGTCCCACAATCCATGCATTCCCAGTTTTGCTCCCAGCTTGTTAGTGAGGAACATGCCAGATGAGTTCCACTAGAACCACAACACTGACAGCGTTTTATTTCCCATTTGCTAAAAAAAAAAGTAAAAATGTATTATAAATTCTAACAATAACTTTAATTCAACAAAGCTACATAGGCAATATCATTCTTTCTGAAAAGGAATTAGACCACACATTTATTGGAATGGAACAAAATGCAAGAGTGAAAGACTAATAGCATTTTAAAGTATTCTAGGTTGCCTTTCTATCAGGAAACGAATTTATCGATACTTAATACAACTGTTCAACTACATTTTGTTCTACAATGCACTGTTATTGAATAACTGCTAAGAAACAGGCTGACATACATTACAAATAAGAAGAACTGTCACAGAAAAAGCTACAGCAACAAACAGTCACAAGACCTTTAGAATCTAATCTAAGCAACTCATTCCCACAGATAATCTATGCTGTCATCCTTAAAAGCTTTCTAACAAAGCCAAATTTTCACCATTTGATAGAAAGTTGCTAACAATAAAGCTTCACTGGGAAGTGACATCCCATTAACTCCAAAGGGTAGCATATAGATGAGATCTTTAATCTTTATACGATTGCAGAAAGGTATATACTTATATTTCTTTTAAAACATAACTTTTTCATAACTATTATTATAATAAAAATAGAATTATTCAACATTTCAAATAAACAATGACTTTGCCAAATAGAATAAATTTGATGCAGTGATTAAGATGCTGGTCTAGAAACCAGGAGACTGTGAATTCTCGTTCCTTCTTAGGAACAAAAGCCAGCTGGATGACCTTGGGCCAGTCACTTTTTCTCAGTCCAACCCACCTCACAAGGTTGTTATTGTGGGGAAAATAGAAGGAGGAATATGTATTATATATGTTCCCTCCCTTGAGTTACCTATACAGTAATAAAAGTCTAAGTAATAGTAGTAGTAGTAGTAGTAGTAGTAGTAGTAGTACCACCACTAGTAATAGTATCAATATAAATAGAAAACAAATCCTTATCAGCAGTTACAGTGAATGGTCCAGGATTTCTTTGGCTTACTCAATTATAAATTATTTGATTTTTTTAATTACAATTTTGTGTTTGCTATATTTGAAAAACTATAAAGAAATTATACATGAATGGTGACAAAGACAGCATAAATTACTACCTATCAGGTTCACTGTAGTCTCTCCCATTTTTGCAAAGACATCTTTTAATATCACAATGTTGGTAATGTTGAAGAAGTTCTTGATAGGCGTTCTCTTCCAGTTCCCAGGAGGCATCTCTGAATCATTCAAACATTTATTAGAATACTTTAATTCTGCAGTTTAGCTTTTCTTGTTAAACAAGAAACAACAGCAAAATGCAGCATAAAATATAATATAAATACACAATATACAATATAATAAGATAATATATAATAATTTAAATCACTTACTTTTCTGGAATATGGATGCCCATTCTTAACATTTCGTTCTGAAATTTTTCTTTATTATTACATACAGGACATCTAAAGAAATATACCCCTGCACTGAGAGCTTGACACTGAATCCAAGAGAAAAATAAAGAATGATCAATAAAAGTTATTTACTTCACACAAAAACTAAATGCCTTTAAAGATTAAGGCATAATACCTGTAAGAACAAATAAATGATAGAGGTATAAAATCTTGAGACATTTTTTTTCTATTTCCTTTAAATTTTGTAAATTCTAACTACAAGGGTTGAATGAAAAGTAATGCCTTCACAGTCACCAACAGATGACAATACTAATGCATTAAAACCTCTAAGATGTTCTTTAACGTCTGCCCTTTCACTTCAGTGGATAGAAGATCACTGTGACAAAAGGTTACATTGATATTGTTCATTCTTTGAAATGAAAGCCTGCAACTATTCATCAGTGAACTTTAAGCAACATTCCATCTTTAATTTTTGACTGAAGTAGTCTCTCTTGGGACTTTCATTGTAGAATATGTTTTTTTTATGGCAATGACTGCATTGACATTGTGTGCTGTTAGGTCAAAAAAATGGTGAACAGGGAAGATCTGTGTGATCAGAATGAAATGAACAATTATGACAGCACATGAGAAATGCTGTTGAATTGATTAAAGACAACTGGCAGATTATTCAAAGGGACACTACTGTCAAGCTTATTATTCAGCTTAGCAGGAACATGTGAATCACATTACCAATGTATTTCAATATAGTATCAGAAGGTTGGGCAAGATGGGTTGCAAATGATGGACAATGTTCAAGAGTTGAAATTTGCCAGCAATTGTTGTCATGCTAAGAGAAGGAAAGTGATGAATTTTTTTCATAGCATCATGACAGCCAATGAAACATGGACTTACCCTGATGATCCAGAAATAAAGCATTAGTCCATGAAATATTATCACAAAGATACACCTGTAGAAAAAAAATTCAAAATCCCAGTTTGGCAGGAAAATACATGGCTACAGTTTTTTGGGACACAGATTACTTTTCATTTGGCACCACTATGAACTCAAAGTACTTCACTGCAATACTCAAACTTTTGAAATAAAAATGTAAGCAGAATTTGGAAGGACAAGAAGAAAATTTTGTTGCACCATGTCAATGGTAGGCCTCGTAGCTTATGAGCCACCCAAGAGGCAATTGTGAAGCTGGATCTTACTACCTTACCGCATTGGCCATACAGTCCAGATTTGGCATCATGCGACTTCCATCTTTTCCCCAAACTGAAGGAATACCTTTATGGGCACCTGTTTGAGTCAAATGAAGAAATGAAAAGGACTGCCAGGACCTGGTTGAAGAGACAAAGTATGGAGTTCTTTTGTGACAGCTTTCAGAAGCTTGTCCATCCTTGGCATAAGGATATAGTGAATGGTGGTGATTATGTGGATAAGTAAATATAGGTAACAAAAGAGCTCATTTTAAAGATTATTTCCCTATTTCATTTATTAAGCTATCATCATATGAACTAAAGTTATGGAGGTGGAGGCATTACCTTTCATTGCAACCTTATAGATCAAGTTTATAAGAGTTCCCATGTCATACACTGATTTCCATTTCACTTCCAACCTACTCTGAATACAGACCTACTTTTTAACAATAACAATTTACAGATTTTGTTTTTAGTAGTGAAAAAGAACTTCTGCTATCTCAACCCAGACATACCTGCAAGCATTCCCTATGAAACCAAGCATTTTTACAGCATGGACTTGTCAAAATGTTGTATGCAGGTGCTTGTTCAACCAACTCCAAACATATTGTACATTGTGATGATCCTTTACAATTAGCAAGACGTTTTTGAGTGGGTCTATGTTTCCAACAATATGACCTTAAATCAGAGATACAATTGCATAGAATCACATCACTTAAAAAAAAACAGAATGATTACTCAGGTAAATCATGCACTTTAGAAAAAGATGTTCTCAGATATAGCTGTAAGGACCAATGTGCTTTCATATTAACTGAAATTAATCTGGTATTATTAAGTGGAACCTTGCAATTTTAGAAAACAAGTATTTCCAGTACTTTTGAAATAGTTTTGAAATAATGAAGCAAAATAAACTTACGGAAAAGTTTCTCTGAATTGGAAAAGGCATCCTCTCTCTATTCCACAAGGAAAGTGGTAGCTTTGTTTGCATCTGGATGTTATACAACCAATTGAAGCACCTTTTTTCTTACAGACAGTACATTTCTAAAAAAATACCATATTAAATAATTATAACTAAGAACTAACTTCACCACAATACTTATGCATCTATCTGTAATGAACTGAAATATTTTAAGTGCTATACTTTTGTCTTTTTTAATTACCATTTATAGAAAAACAGTTATTTTGTATCAAAGCTTACACAAGAAAAAAACACTGGTCTCATAATGAAATAATTCATCACTGATAGTCAAATTGCATCCAGATGTTTTTGTTAATATTTGGTGCAGATAATTTTTAATAAATTATTAAATTCATAAATGTAACATACCTGCATACATTCTAATCTTAATATAAATTATTTAATTATTTAATAAAATATTATCAACTCCTATAAATTGCAAGCATTAATTTTTTCAAATAAACCATACAGTTTTTTCCTTTCATTTCATCACCTACAGATAAAAATCCTATAAACTCTATTGCATAGCCAATCTGGAATATAACTGTCTAATATGTGATCCCATAAAATAAAAAGTATCTTCCCTTTTATATTAACCTTAAGTCTGATATTCCCTCTCAGACCTAATCAATATCAGGCTTTGCAACAAACCAGCTGATAAACAAACACCCATTGAATCACAACTTGGTAACTTGTAGTTAGGTAGGTGAAAGCAATCCCAGAACAAGTAGACCTGGTAAATGTGCAGAACACTATGTTGCTGCTGATCTAGACACCTATTTTAGTCAACAGATTTATGAAACTTAGCCACAATACTGAAGTTAAATTAAATACTTAATGGTTGCTAGTCTAAAGGACAGAAATTAATCTGATCTCAATTTGCTGCTCCCTCTTCAAATGTGTTCCCAAAAGTATGGCAGCTCTTTGTATTACAGCAAGGATACACATAGGAAGAAAGAGCAATAGACCTCCATTTAAATCTTATTCAAAACCAGCCTTTCTCAATTTTTTTATCCTTGAGGAACCCTTGAAATAATTTTCAGGGCTCAGAAAACATCTACACGAAAATCACAAAAAATATAAACATTTCAAAATAAAATTCTCCTCTAACCTACATTTCACCATCTTCATAACAATAGCAAAGCAGAGGTTGATAATGGAGTCACAGGACTAAACATTCCCATTGCATTGTGCGGCGTGAAACATTTAAATAAAAAATAATAATTAATCACACACTCTCATAAAATCCCTAAGGCTTCACGGAAACACAGTAAAGAAAGGCTGTTCTGAACCTTTGTAGGAAAAGTTCATTTTGCAAGAAACTATAAATCTGCTTTGGATGTATCTAAGGCAAAGACCTGATTAATTCAGCTGGTTTAAAAGTAACACAGTTCCAATTGCATAGTTGAGAACAAAATCTTACTTTTTTCTTTTTCAACCAAAATAGCTTAATTACATCTGTTACTGCTAATGTAAGTTTAGGATATATTTAAATTTATGAATATTTATAACTCCTTGGAACAGATTCATTATTCAAAATCTCTTACCAGTCTTGCAGCTCGATTAATTTCTTTTTGGATATCTTCAGGTAAAAAACCATAAAAGCCTTCTTCATCTTCACCTCTCTGCCAAATCCCACTTGACATTAACTATAATTTAATGATGAATTAAATCAAGTGACATTCCAGACATGTCTGCATTAACTTTTCACTATAAAAAAGCATGTAATTTAATCATTACTGAGGTTTAGCTGCATTATAATTATGTGCGATTTTCAGCAAATTATTGAATCATGTTTGCAATATATTTGTCTTCACAATATGGCAATAGGTGTTGCCATTTATTCAGCACAGGTAGTCCTTACTTACTGACTGCAATTGGGAGCCACAACAATCACTAAGCATCAGCTGTAAACTGAAAAGTCATGTGAATATATCAGTTTTGGCTGTGGTTGTTAACAAATTGCCATAAGTAATTCAGTGCAATGTCACATGATTGCAACTTCTGCTTGGCTTTCCCATTTACTTTGCTTGTCAGAAATGGACTGTGAAGGTCACAAATAGCAATTATGTGACCATGGGATGCTGTGACTGTTGTAAATGTGCACTAGATGCCAACTACCTGAACCATGATCATGTGACCATGGGGACACTGTGAGAACTGTACCTTTGAGGATTGCTTGTAAATATCCTTCTTTAACACCATTATTCAAATGGTTACTGAGTGGTCAGTAAGCAAGGACTACCAGTATACCTTTTTGCATTTGGTCCACACTTTCCAGCCAACTAAGAAATATAAAGCACAAAAACAAATTCAGATAGTTGCCATAATTCAGTTAAGGCAACACCTGCTTCTGAGGAAATACAGACATGATTTGCTGACAACTCCCATTGTTTTCAAAAAGGTTCACTATCAATTGTAAAGCTAGCATTGCAACCTTATTGTACAAAATGATATCCAGATCTTTTGCCACTTTCTAGTTGCATAATTTTAAATTTTTGATCTGCATACTTTTAATTTTTTGCTTTCTATTTTTTTTATGTTCTGTAAGCTGCCCAGTCACCGCATTAGGGAGATGGGCGGCATATAAACAAACAAAAGATTTTTGGCAATTTTTCATGCTAAGAATAAGAAATTTTTTTTCTGCTGCAGCATAATATATATTGCTGAGAATCTTTGCATGCTTCTGACTCTCAATCTCAATGAATTCAGAATTTTTGACTTTCACATGACACATCTACACATGGAGCTTTGGCATTATTCCTGCAATGGGGTTGTACCCCTTTGTTCCCATGCTGACATCATCCTTTGCTGTTGAGGCTCAGCTTTCTGTGTCACCCCCTTGCTTCTTTAAGACACCTTTTCTTGTCTAAGGATGTGTCTTCAGCCAGGAATAACATGTATTCAGGTAACAATGTGGATTGCCTAATACTAGTTTAGGGCCAGTAACTGGCTGAATGTGAATAATAACCTTAAACTGAATTCAGAGAGGACAGCAGTGCCTATTGTGAAGGGTGACATTTCTCAATAGAAGTGGCAGATGTTCCATGTTTTTAATGACATTAAAAACAATTCTCCATTGTTAGAAAGATTATGCATAAAGTAAAGTATTTCAAGATTCACATTTCTCTTGAATTTCCTAGATTGAAACAAGGAACAACAGAATCTTATATCAGCTAGGTTTATGCACCTACCTGTACTCCTTTTAGTTAGTAATTTGTAAGGAAATTGAGCTCTATAATAAAATCTATTTATTTGAGTTTGTTAAATAGACATATATTATAACACAGATACCATAAGAGCAGCCTGTAGATTATCTAACTTTTCAACAGACTCCCAAAGTTCTCCGGATGTAGCAAGAAGTACTTACCACACAGTAATAATGAACAGTGAGATTATAGTCCTCATAGGTCCTTTTTTCCCCATATTTTTCAGGACAGTCATCAGTCCGTTGACAGAATTCACAGGCTAAAAGATAAAAAGAATGTTGTGTGGGCACTATGAAGTTCTACTGGTTATTGGGCATATAACAAGGTAACAGTAGTAGTTTTGTATATTTTATAAATTTCTCTGAACTATTAAGACTAGTAAATTATAGTAATTACAATCCCAGAAATTACTTCTGAATGCATTCATATATAAACAAGGTCACTTGGAAAGTTATTTATTTAGCAAATTTATTTATGGCTGCAAATTTATATCTTAACCAACTAACACCAGGTAGCCAACAAAATATAAATAATGAAATAAAAAATAGAATAAACACCAGTCTATTTAAAATAGTTGAGACTCCTCACAGATTCTCTGTAATTTTCTGACAGTATAACAAGATACACACATCAGGCTCTAGAAGCAACTTGGTTCATTGGCTAATAGAAAAGCCTTCAGGAAGGCATGTTTCCCATAACACTGTTTCACAGAAGATATGTGGAACATGCCCACCATACAGATCTGCCACGATGGGCTGAAACCACTGGAGATGGATAGTCTCTCAAATACTTGGTTCTATATCAAGTGACAACCAGCAAGTTGAACTAAACTTAGAAACTTACCAGAAGCCAGTGCAGCTCATGTAGCAGTGGTGTTATGTGGATGTTCTCCACCGCTACCCAATGAATTCAAGAACAGCCCATACAGAGTGGATTGCAATAATCTATCAGGAAATGGCTAAGGCATCAATGACTGTGAACAGTGCCTCCAGATCTAGAAATGGATGTAACTAGTGTACAAAATTGTTTTGTGCAAGGAGCCTCCTGGGCACAGCTACCTCAAAGAGATCTGTGGCTCCAGCAGGATTCTCAGGCTGTACATCAACTGTCTGTGGGCATTCTATTCCATACAAACAATAGAAGATGTCCAGCTGAAGGGAGCTCTTGAACCCACTGTGATTTAGTCTTGCTAGAATTGAGACAAAACCTCTTCTTCCCCATCTAGACTTTTCAAACATCACTTGGGCAGGAATCCATAACTGAGTATCATCAACATTCTGATGCTTTATCCTATACAATGGCTTCATAAAGATGTAAATAGGAGTAGGTAGGGGGCCTAGGGCTAGTTGTCAACCTCCCCCTCCATAACACAGACTGAAATTCAGCTAAGAGAAAGGAAAACAACCACAAAAACTATGTCTGCGTATCCCCTCCCAATTCTCCCAGCTGGTCTAGTAGAATGTCATATCTACAGTACTGAAAGCCACTAAAGAAACCAAGGAGGGCTAGGGCATATACAACATACCATCATGAACTTGCCATAAAAATGACTAATGCTATCCTACTGCTGTAACCTGACCTGAAACCCAACTGAAACACATCTAAATAATTTATTTCCTTGAGAAACCTTGAGAACGCTAAGTCTACCACCGTCTTAATAGCTTTCTCAAGAAAGGCCAGTTTGGAGAACTACCATGACCATATCTTTGAACAAGTACAAGACATAGTTATTGATCTGGAGAACTTAGCATTAAACTTTATTAATCTAATTAGAATTCAAAACATTAACATTATAGTGTTTGTATAGTCATTAAAAATGCAATGATGATTAGTAATAATTACTACCGGGCTTGATTGTAAAAACACCCCAAAGCACATGTTTAAATTAGTATCAGTTCTTTTGTCACCAAGGTTACTAAGTACAGGAAAGGCCAGAAATAGTTTAGTGTTCTGCAATCTGGGAACCATACAATTTCCACAAATCCCAACCAGAATGGCTATTGCAGACCCACTAATTGAAGGCACCAAGCTAGAAGCTACATTAATTAAATCAAACATAAATAGTGAGAAACACTTACATAGATTCTGGAGGCATCCAATAATGTTCTTACTCATTCTAGAGTTCTCCATTCAACTAAGTCATACAAGAGAAAAATCAGTTTCTATATGATATTAAACTTTTGTCTGTGAATTATCTAATCCTCTAGAGTTTCAATGAAAAACAAACGATATAAGAAAAATAAAGAACTGCTCATTTTATATATATTCAATTGCAACTTGAAATGCAGCTTTGTTTTTTTATCAGCAATTTGTAGAACTTTTTCATTATTTCTAACTATAATTAACGATTTATAGCAACAGTATAATTTAGCATAAACCAAAAGTCAAAAATGCAAATACAGTCTCTTTTTAACTACACAAAATTACCTGGGAAAAAAAATAAGGTATTCTTTGCTGTTCTTTTGTCTCTGCAAATTTGTGGACAGTCCTGCATTCAGTCTTCATCCAGATAAGAAAGATGATGAGGAGCAAAAGAAGAAAAAGACAGAGCAAACAAGAAAGGGAAGGAGGGGTAGGGGAGGGGAGTAGAGGGGAGTTAAATGTTTTATATCAAATGAACAAGCAAGGAGGCAGATGAGACAATAGATCATAAAGGCTACTACTCTGGTACAATTAGGTCACAAAGGTGTTGCTCTGAGGCATTACAGTTGTCATCCAAGTACTCAAGTCAGGAATCTCATAAGTCAATACCATTATATAAGACAGAGTAGCAAAGCCTTTTGGAATATAATGCTAAGTGTCAAATCCAAACTACATTTTTAAAAAGACTCAAAAGAACTGGAAAATAATTAAGTGAACAAAGGAAAATTTGTAAAATTATAATGTTAAATCAATACTATTCTGCTTGGCATTTTTCTCCTAGAGATGTTAACTTATGCTACCTTTATGCTATGTGTTTGGAGATAGAGATTTAAAGACAACTCTAACAAGTGGAGGCAAAACAATTTATTCTTGTCAACTGAAAATAAAATAAATGAATTTGCAGTAATATTTTTTTTACCAACTCAAATACTTTAACGTGAGAAAATAAAACAACTTCTGTTGGTTGAGAAATATGATATTCATGCAACAATTTCAATATTTGTACATGGAACAAATGAAAGATTCTTATCTCGGTGAAAACTGTAAATCAGATGGAATCTGTATTCTTCTTGCATTTTAAATTATTTCTAGTCCCACATTTGAGATTTTATCCCCCAATTCCCAGAGCACGTTTTCTAGAAATACTAAGACAGAATAAGAAAAAAAATTACATCTCCCCCACACTTTCAAAATAAGTGGCCTGTTACCAGTATTCCAATAGTAAAAAAAAACTTTAGAAGAATTTAATGTTTGAGAAAAGTAATAAACCATTGGTTTCCCCAAGATTATTTTGAATACAGTACTAATGCACTATTGATGATCGTGCAATTTGTATTTAGTTTGTAAGTCTTTCAAAGAAAATAGGTTTTGTAAAGTTAATTAGTAGGTCTATACAATAAGTTAATGAATGAGCAAGGAGGAACAAATTTTAAAAGTATGCGCGCGCGCGCGCGCACACCCACCCACCCACCCTTCTTTGTTCATGAGGGGATATGATCTCCAAGACAAATCTTCAAAGCAACAATAACTGAATATCATTTTCAAAGTACTCACAGAACTTAAAGCTGTTTTTTCTAGAAGCTTGTGTAAATGATAGGGGTCTTGTGTTCTCTGCCTTGATTGCGTCTGATCACCAATCTTGCTCCATCTGCATTCTATAAAGATTAGAAAAAACACAATGACAGTTATTTTATCTGAAAAGCATTAATATTCTTTATTGTTAGTAAAAATATTACAAAGTGAAATGTTAGTTCCGCTATGAATCAAAAATAATACTCAAAACAATCTGATTCTATGTTAGCCTTCCAAATTCTTCAGATGTTTGGGCATCAATTCATATAATTCTTAGCAGTTACCAAGCTGGTTGGAAATTTTAGAAGTCCATACATAATTAAAATTGTTCAATGATGTTTTTAACTGCTGTTAGCTGCCTGGTCCTCACAAGTCCTATTATGTTGCCTCAGGGTGATGGGTGTTCCTGGAAAAAATCTGTGAAAAACATTGGAAATGTATTCCAAAATATATATATTCTCAGCAGGATGACCCATGGTGGTCATTCCAACTATCCAGCAAAAGCAAACAGGCACCTGTGCTAAGCAATCACAAAATAGGAAGATGGTGGATTCATATTATCACTTTAGCAGCAATGGCAACGGCGTTAATTCATACGGTGAGAGTAGGCAATGGCAAACTATTCTTATATTTTTACTAAAAAAATGACATGGATGGAATACAATTGACAATTCATGGAGAAAATCTATCTATATGGTCGCTAAGAGTCAACAACAACTTGATGGAATATATTCAATCAATCGCCCAGAGCCACATATTTGAGATGGGCAGTCATATAAATTGAAATATAAACAAATACATTTGCTGGCTTCATTTCATCAAACTGCAGCTGCTCTTATATGTATAAGACCAACTTGATGTATTTATTACATTAAATATATTTCATTATTTTATTGGTGGGAAAAAGGTTTGGATAACCCTTTCTGAAGAACTAAGAATTCTCCAGTGAAATGTGCTTGGTCAGCTTCAGATTAGAAAAAAAAGAAATTCATTCCAATAACAAATAAATAGAACATTAAATAATACATGTCTGGGCAATTCAAGTATTTAACTATTTCTTCTTTGCTGGATGATTTCAAATTACAAGTAACCTCACTTCTCCTGATGCCTCTAAATCAGTGGTTCTCAACCTGTGGGTCGGGACCCCATTTGGGGTCGAACGACCATTTCACGGGGGTCGCCAAACAATGCAGTCCCCCCTTTTCCTTAGCTGTGCTACTCCCTTTTATTCTATTGGCTTTCGAAAGCCAATAGAATAGACTCTCTTGAATGGAGTCTAATTCTATTGGCTTTCAAAAGCCAATAGGAATCGTCCAGGCTGTCTCTGCCCTGCTGAGCCCGCCAAAAGTCCCATTCTGCAAACGGTGCTGCACCAGTTGAGTAGTCCTCAACTTACGACCGGTTGAGTAGTCCTCAACTTACGACCGGTTGGCGGTCGCGGCATTAAAAAGGTTGAGAACCACTGCTCTAAATAGAGATTCCTTTCCCAATGAGGTCCTCTGGTATTCAGGGTCTACAAGTTCCAATGAACAATGATATCATCTGTACAGATAGAATTTCCTGGACAGATAATTAAGGAATGTAGAATTTTAACTCATTAGGGGATATCATGAAGTGTAGAAATTACAGTTTTAATTAACTTTAACCACCTCTCTCAAAGAAGAAATTTGTAAAATACGTTACACGATGATCTTCCACATTTCTATGTGTAGAGATGTAGAAAACTGAACTACCCACTGGTAAATGATTTCTGTATTAGGGTTCTAATAATAGAGACAGGCAAAATAGCTTTTTAATATGAGCAAAAATTTGGAAGTGACATATTCTTTGCAAGCCTCATGTGCTTGTTTCAAAAGCTGTTCATAGTTACAGATTACAGATTAACAAGAAGGCTTACAAAGCAAGTTGTTGCTAATGTGCTTTACAAAGCATCTCTCTGGAACCTTTTGCACATATAATGCAAGTTCAATTTACCTGACCTCAATCGATGGATTTTACATGGAAAAAAATGTTCTACAAAGATTAACCACATTTGTGTTACAATGTGACTAAACAAATTTCATTTTCGGGGGGGGGGGAACTTAAAATTTTGCAAATGAAACAAATAATTGCAGCTGACATACTTTTCGATTAAATAATCATCAGGAAATAATGGCATCAAATTAATTTATAAAATGAAGTTAAGATAGTATTTTACTTCCATTAAATTCTTTAAACCCAGGTGAATGGCAGCTTGAATTTGGCTACGAAAAATGAATTTTTCCAGATTTAATAAATAAATAAAGCAATTTTTGAAAGGTGGATTTCTTTTTTTTTATTTTGTATATTAAATAGCTTTTATTATTTGACACCTATCTTCTCAATTCATGCTTTAATAACAACATTCTAAATGAAATATTATTAAAGCATCAAATAAAGCAGTTCAACATCTGTTCATTGCAGTTGTAACAGTATCAAGAAAATAAAACTGTACATTATAATCATAAAAATCAAAAAGACACTCTAAGATAGTGAACATAAACAGCTTTAAAAACTAAGTTTACAATGCCACGAATAAAACATTTCCATGTTAGTTTTAAAAATTTGTAACATACAAAACAAGATGCGGCAGAGTTTTAGATGCATGTTTTCCATTTCATTAAGGAGCAACAGCAGCTTTCACAAATGCCATCTCAGTTCACAGTATGTGCTTTGCATTTAAATAAGAAAGGGTTTTAAGTTCACATTGTAGCTTCTGACAGGCTAATGTTAACTTTTTATCTTTCAGCAAAAAGCTTTGGGGAGATGAACAGCAGTGTCCAAGAACAAATTATCTGGAATATACAGTATTATATTCTGCAAGTTAGAAAATACCTAATTTTTGAACTTAGAAAGTACCAAAATATTTCATCCTGATGCTCAATTTGTTCATTCAGAATTAAATCCCACTTAGACTGGATATTTCCTAACAATTAATAATTTGGATTCAGAGTTCTGGCTTTGAGGCACTATTTTTCTGTTCAATTGTGTCCAGTTCTTAGGGACTGCCTGGACAAGTTCCTGATGTTTTCTTGGCAAGGTTCTTTTAGAAGTGGTTTGCCATTGCCACTTTCCTACAGCTGATATAAAGCAAGTGGCCCAAAGTCACCAAGCTGGCTTCAATCTAGAACTAGAACTCATGTTCTTCTGTTTTCTAATCTGGCTCTCAGAAAGTGTTTTACCTGTGACTAAAAACAGTAATAGAACTTCTGCTATCAAGAAAAATGGATGTGTCCGGTTTGCAATTGTGGTGCAGGCAGACATTTGGAACGATCACCCTCCCCGCTGTCTGGTTTTCTCCTGGCGGGGGACCCTGAAAAAGGTCAGAAGTTGCCTTGGAGGGGTGACGAGTGTGAAGAAGACCCCTGAGTGATCGCGGAAGGGCGGCAGCCCTCCCATTTGATCTGGGGAAGCTCTTCTAGCTGATGGGTAAAAAACCGGCCATCAACATGGCCCATCACTAAGCCGCTACCAGCCAAGGGCAAAATTACAAACAAGCACTTCAAAAGCAACGTGGAGGAATTGAGTGAGACTCTACTTTCTCTATACCTCAAGTAACTCTCCTGTTAAAAGCTTTTTGAAATTCTTCCCCTTCTAAGGAGAGAGGGATGGGAACTTTCTCCCTCCCACCCTCTAAAATGGCGGCATTTGACTACCTGGGAAAACAAAGCACTGAAAAGAATAACTTAATATAATTGGATTTACATTTTTGGGGGAGGGGAGGGAAATCTGGGAACCCAAAAAGTTCTGACTCTTACTGGGACCTACTATTTTATTTACTTGTAAAAAAGAAAAATAAAGAAGAATTTAAATTGGATAAAAACTTAGCCTGGGATTTGGAAAAGACTTTAAATGCTATTGGAGACATCTGGTGGTGAAGCTTGGTACAGCAATCTATTATTTTTATTATTCTTGACAAGTGACTTGCTCACAACCCAGATCTGACCTTGACACTATCTAAGAGAGATTATAAATTGAAAGAGCAGCTGGACAGTGAAATTGGTTTTTAGGAACTGTGGAGGTGAACACTTACTGACTCTTGTTTAATAAATAGCCTTCACTAAATGACCATCTATAACTATGTCAGAAATGGAGGAAGACCAGCAACAGATGTTGCTTGACTACAAACTTATACTTGAAAAATTTTTTGAAGTCACCGAGATAATCAAACTTAGACTGAAAGATCAACGTGCCAACTTAAATCTACAAAGCGAAACCCTGACTTCAATTAAAGAACCTACAACCCAAAAGACAACAGAAGCAGAAGAAAGTAATATCAAGATGGAGGGCTTTGAAGATCAACAAGTACAGCTTACCGAAAACTTAAGACAATCAAATAACAACTACAAAATTGGACATAACTTTCTACCTAAACCAGAAGAAACCTGAGGAAGAAGAAGACCAGATCAAATTGAAGACAACTATACTACAGCAAATATGGGGATCTGAGCCACTAGGATGACAACTTAATGATTATAAATGGGCCAGTCCCTCCAGAAAATTGACAACTAGATAGTCTCCTTTAATTCAAGTAACATGTACAAAAATGAAGGGAGATCTATCTGACGATCTAAAAGCATTGGTGGAAGCCTGGTTGGCATAAAAGGAAAGCTAGAGTTAGATTTAAAAAATGTAGTCGTTTGATTTATTAGAAAGGATCCTAAAGACTTAACTAATGGGCTAAAGGGAGATTTTAAGATGAGGAGAAATTTTATTATTAGATTTAAAAATTGTTGGAAAATAATAAAAATAAGGGAATAATTGGTGTAATATTGAGAACTTAGACTTACAAGGGAAATGAAAACTATTAGGAAATAATTTTGAATTATTGTTTAGTCCAGACAATATAGATGATGGACTTGAGATAACAAAGGATACTCCATTATTAAGTGGTGATGTACTAGGATGAGAAATAGAAAATGTTTGTGAATTAAAATAAGAAGAATATATTTAAGCAAGTAATATGTGTATTTTAGATATTATAACTTTTATGTAGTGAGACAAAGAATATTTGGGTTACCCGAAACTTAAATACTATGGATATTAAAGGTTAAATTGAAGTATT